TCGCGATTCAGCAAAGTTATTAACAATTAGTCTTTTTTTCAGGACAATTAACCCCTATCTCTGTCATTGCCAATCGAATAGTAGCAAGAATGCAAAAGTATTCAACTAACCCCCTAATCGTTGTTGGCCAAGGGTTAATAACGCAATTAATTATATGGCCGATGGAAAAATAATTCTTCAGAAACGGTCGTTACTAAGAGTAACTACGATTCGATTATTTTTCGTCATGGAGAAGGTAACTTCTTCGCCCAATCCTACCTTAACAAACTCCAGTCAACGGGGTTAGCTCATGGAAAGTTTCTAATTGGGCCCTTTTAAGCGACCTGTCGCCCGTCCACGTACCTGCACGCATTACCATTTTAACCTTGCCCGGCACCAGGTAGCCGTAAGTCATATGCAAATATCGGGAGGCACTTTTGCTCGAGGGTCGCGGGAACTCGTTAAAATGGAACCGGAAAGTCCGAAAATGGAGTCCCGGAGTAAGATCTCCGAAGTCGCGGAAGTTGCGAAAGTGACGCTAGAGAGATTAGGTATGAAAATGTGAGAAAGCGATTAATTTTGCCGGTGATCGTGGAAGTTACCTAGGTCACGTGTCTAGTCGTGTTTCGTGATAGAATATTAAAAATAAGTTGAAAAATTAATCAGAGCACAGGTACAAATTCGATATAACGATTCGATTCTTCTTTGTTGGGAAATTGTTCCGCTCTCTGTAACATTCACCAATACACACGCGTTTCTACTAGTCGTGTCACGTATACACACGCATATTGCCTTCTAGCGGAAAAAATAAATAGAGACGTTTGGAACGACCAAGTCCGCTTCGACCAGTCGTCAAAACCGGAACGTCGAGCTGAACGTACACAACGTACAATTCAAGCATTGTGAATTCTCTGAATCAAGGTGAATAAAATATTACGATAAAGACAATGGAACTAATTCACGTTTGTAAAAGGCCATAAACGCCGTAAGATTAATTCTTCGCGTAGAATTGTCGGAAGAAAATTATTCTATTTATTCAAGGACGGCATAAACGGATATGAAACAAAATAAATGACGAAATTGTTCGTTTCGGATTTTTCACTCAGACCACTTTTGTGATTATTAAAAGGTTGATAAAGTTTGATAAAATCTGTGCAAATCGATGTAGACGATAAGTTCTTGGAGGAAAAATTTTCAATATTTATACAATGCATATTTCTTACACCCCAGTTTTGCAAAAGCGTTAACACTCCGTTGTAAATTCCGTCAGAACTTTCCTCAGATCACTTTTATAATCGTTAAAAAGGTTGATAAAGTTTGATCAAATCTGTGCAGATTGACGGAAAGAATAGATTCTTAGAGGAAAATTTTTTAGTATTTATGCAATGCTTATTACACCCCAGTTTTGCAAAAGCGTTAACACTCCGTTGTAAATTCCATCAGAACTTTTCTCGGATCACTTTTATAAACGTTAAAAGGTTGATAAAGATTGATAAAATTTGTGCAGATTGACGGAGACGGTAGATTCTTAGAGGAAAAATTTTTAGTATTTATTCAATGCATATTTCTTGCACCCCAGTTTTGCAAAGACGTTCACACTACATTGTAAATTCTGTCAGAACTTTTCTCAGATCACTTTTATGATCGTTAAAAGGTTGATAAAGTTTGATAAAATTTGTGCAGATTGACGGAGACAATAGATTCTTGGAGGAAAAATTTTTAATATTTATGTAATGCATATTACACCCCAGTTTTGCAAAAACATTGATCCCCTTTTCTAAATTCCGCCAGTACTTCTCTCAGATCACTTTCACGATTGTCAAATGGTTGACAAAGTTTGATAAAATCTGTGCAGATTGGCGGAGACGATGGATTCTTAAAGGAAATGTTTTTAATATTTATGCAGTGTATATATTTCTTGTACTCCAGTTTTGCAAAGGCGTTAACACTCTGTCATAAATTTCCTCTGAATACGCGAAATTCATCCGTTAAAACGATACTTTTATTCCGTTATACAGCGTTCACTTTGAAAGTGCGAAAACTCTGCTCTACCATTGTATTCCCTTTTTTTCCTCTTTTTCATCTCTTTATAGGCACGTTACATTCGCTCGTTTTGACCCATAATAGTTGCTAGTGATACGCGGCATTGTTTGAGCTACTGTTTCCCAAAACTACCCTTGGATATCCGTTATACGAGCAGACATTCCATTGTACCATCCACCTCGTAAATTTTTCACCACTCCACTGACTTATAAGATGAACCGTTTATATTTCAGGGAAGCTGCATCTTATTAAATATACAGGTAGAAATTGTGCCTGGAACGAAAGCAAACTGAACATTCGAGGGTGGATCGACTGTCGGTTGAAATTCTCTCTTCCATCCCTTCGTCCTTTGAAACGTTTACCTTACGCATAATCGTATTAAAATATTTTCACAACGAGTTAATTTCATAGCTAATCGAGAAATTTTTAACACAGGATGGTCCACAAAACTGAATTTGTTTAAATTATTAGAATCGTTGGCATGTCTATTATTATTACTTCGATAGGATATTATTCGAGAAAATCTGGGAGACGATTATGGCAAATCTTTTGCAATTCTGTTCTTCGAAAGGAAAAGGAAGCTTGTCGAATTTTTGTTTAAATTAATTTTTCTTTATTTCTATGTAAATTGCAATTGCGAATATTGTAAATATTAAATAGGTATAATTAAATAGGTATCATTTTGAATATCGTACAAATTAAAGGGAAATATATCGTTTGAAATGTTTAGTTAAAATTAATTTAGTTAAATAATGTTTAGTTAAATATTTTGATAATTGTAGATTTTAAGGTATGCCAATTAATCGAGAAACGTGGTCGTCTGAAATTATTCTAAAATGGAAAAGGAATTTTTGCAATTTCTTAGAAGTAAATTTTTTTAGAATTTTTTTTTAATAAGTTATAATAAATTGATGATATTTTAATATATTTCTTCGATCTAAATTAAAAACGTGGATGTGAAAGATTATAGTTTCATGTGTTGAAAATCTAAAGATGAAACTCTAGAAAGAAAAATTTACTCGCTTTGATCAGCGAGTGGAATAATCTTGGCTTGATCACACATCGTGGTTCACTCTGTATGAAAATGAAGAAATGAATATCGTGTATTTAATGTAATTAAACGCCTTTTTAATTAGCAGAAATAATTGAAATTACATTTTCAGTTAAATATTAATTATTATCGTATAAATCTGAAGCTGTGAAATTCGATCAATTTATAATTACTACGAGTGATCTTTTCCTTTCCTCGATTGATATTTCATTTTTAGTTCGAAACGTATTAGATATTTTATGCTTCTTTCCTTCTTTTTATTATAAATATATGTACTACTGTCTGAAAAATTTTCGAAGAATTTTTGTATCGAAATAAATCTTTCGTTTGATGGCATTTGAATATTCAGAGAACTTTTTAGCTTCCACTTTCCTGTTAATGCAACGATACCGTCAGTATTGTACTGAAATATGAATTTAGCTTTTCAGTGTAATTACTGTTACTTCTGAATTTAAAGCACTCCTCCTCGATAGACAGCTAACCGTTAAATATTCATGAAGACGGTAACCACTGGTAGCCATTCACGAGTTATTCTTTCTATCAGAAAATAGCTGAAAATTTCCAAGGAATATCTCGATGTATTTGTCATAACGATATCGAGGTAAATTTCGATGCTTCCTGCTTGCATAGCAAAGATTAATCCAATAAATTGTACTTCCTTCGTGCACCCTTTGGGTCTTCTGCGTAGAATAAATAAACCAATCCTATTTTTATATGCTCTTTCAATTACCCGAACGAACTCAATATTTTTGCAATATCTCCAATTGTTAATTCATCTCGATTATTAACGACAACATCGAACGTTAAATAACTAAACTAGAGAAGCAAGTTTTGTAGGAATTAATATTACAATTTGATGTGTACCAATGACAAAGGTTTAATAATTCATAGCAGAAAGAGCTAAAATTATTGACTATTCATTCCACGGTATCCCCTATTGGATTTATTATAATTCAATTAAAATCGCCGTGTGCTCTCACGTGTATCCGTATATTCAAAACTACAAGTGCATTCAGAGTCTGAGAATTGCATTTAACACAGTACCATAACTAATCTAGTAATTTCAAGGATGGTCCTTTGATCACCGGAACAGTAGAGGTACCGGAAGTGGTAGAAACTCGATGCGTAACTAGAAGTGGTGGCAGTGGAATTCGACCTTGTATTAGTACCTCCTCGCTAACAAGAACAAACGTTCCCGATTTATAATCAAATTTCGCGATTACGTCCCGAAACGGCGTATTACCTCTGTACACCACGATTTAATTGCAAAAAGTCGAAGAAGCGTTTCGTTTCAACTGGTCACTATATACGCATATGGTATTTTCTTTGCCATAAAATAACACAAATTTTCAAAAAAGAATTTTCAAAAATTTTGTTAACGTTAAAACTGAAGATCAAACCTGTCGGTCAAGCTGACGTGAATTGTTTAAATATTGTTCACTCTACATCGATAAATATGACAGCACGTGTTTACGTTACAAAACAAATTTTCTGCTTCTGAAATTTGACCGAATAGACGGGAATTTTCCAAAGCAGAAAATAATACAGAGACTCTAAAAGCGAGAAAAAGTTTAGAATATTCGGATGCTAGTGAAAATAATTCGAATGTTCTTTGATCTATCGTACCATGACAGCTTCGTTAGATTGTATCAGCAATTCTGACTCCAATACCGGTTTATTCACTGCTTCATAACGTTTAGTTACTCTGGGTGTCGAAACGATGAATACAACTCCGGCGTAGTGAATAAATTTAATAACCTCTTTGACCACTTGCCACTTAAAAAGGCGACTGCACGAAAATCCGGTACATAGGAAAATCGAAGACCAAAAGCGTCGGGCCAAGATGAACCGATCAATCGAGCCTTTCGCGCCTTATGAAAGGCTCTTTGACCGGACGCCTCGCTAAATTCGTCGCTTTGATCGTCAGGGTCGCAACGGTAAAGGGTCAATTTTCGTCTGGGCGTCAGGAAACGGAGGCAGGGATCACGACAACTGCAACTGCGACGGCTACACGAACAGTATCTGGACGTTGTCCATCAGCAGCGCCACGGAGAATGGCCAGGTGCCCTGGTACAGCGAGGCCTGCTCCTCCACTCTTGCCACCACTTATAGCTCCGGCTCGTCCGAAGAGAAACAAGTAGTGACTACTGACCTGCATCAGCTTTGCACGACTAGTCACACGGGCACGTCTGCATCTGCACCCTTGGCTGCCGGCATCTGCGCCCTTGCCCTCGAGGCGAATAGAGATCTAACTTGGAGAGACATGCAGCACATCGTCGTGAGAACGGCTAAACCTGCGAACCTGAAGGCTTTGGACTGGGTCACCAACGGTGTTGGACGAAATGGTGAGTCAAGAAATGAGTTTCTTTCATGTTTCTTCTACCTTTAGCGTTGAATTTGCGAGTCAGAGACGTTATATTAAATTTACACCTTATTTTTCTCTGCAAATTTGGGAATAGTATTTTGGAGTAAATAGCGAAATAAAATGATAAGAATATAACTGAAAAATTCATTATAATATACGAACCAGGTATAGATCTAGGTCAAATACCACCCATGGCAAAAAATTTTCGGCCAAAAGCGATAATATGAAATTATCTGAAATTAGTATAGGTTTCTAGATGCAAAGTGTTACAATATAAGCATAAAACTAGATACTGAATCAGTCTGATATGAAACAAAAGTAGAAAAGAAGGAAATAATTCGAACCTTTATTTAATATCAAAAAGAAAGTAATAAAAGAATAAGTATTATTGAATCTAACCAAAAACTTTTTGTCAGGGATATAATATAAACATAATTTTATAAGTTAGCTACAGAGCCAGTTATAAATATAATATTATAATATAAAATATTTCTTTTTAATATTATTTATTAATTATTTTTCTATTCACACTTTCTTGAATAATATATATTTTAATACATACAGTACACGTGCCATAATCTTTTTTAAATTTTCCAATATTTACTCAGTGAGTCACAGTTTTGGCTATGGGTTAATGGACGCCGCCGCCATGGTGCGCTTAGCTAGAAGATGGCGAACAGTTCCTGAGCAACACAAATGCGAAGTTTCTGCACCGCACATGAGCAGGTCAGTTAATTACTTCACACTTTGCGAACTTTACAAACAAGCAACCGGTATATCACAATTACAACTAAACCTCGAATAAAAAATTGAAACGGTGGCTGAATTATTTACGTTATTTTCGTGCAATCTAACAGAAACAAATATAAAAAGACGATTTATCGGAGATTAAGTCATCTGGAAATATCAAATAGAATTTAGAAGTTAATAAGTTTGTGAAATAAATGACTATGCGAGACGTGACGATGCAGTTCGGTCCATTACTATTTCCCCCACGTACCATTCGCTTTGCTTGCTATGATGAGGATAAACTGATCCCAGGAAATAACTTCTGCAACGCGTGCACTCGATTTCGTAGAGACGATTTCGTAACCGTGGAAATGCGAGTGATTTTCTCGATAATAAAAATAATGAAAAAGTGTACACAATGATTTTCTTAACAAATTCGATGGCACGAAATTCGCGGGAGAAAAAATAAAATCAAGGCAGCTTCCTGTCTCGTTTCCGTGGCTGACCTAAATTTCATATGTACGTACAGGCCAATACCGCCAAAGAGCCAGCTAACTCTGGAATTGTACGTCAAGGAGTGTAGCGGCGTTAATTTTCTCGAGCACGTGCAGGTAAGTACTATGTCACTCACTGTAAGTAGTAGGCTAATTAATAGTTCTCCTCTGAAATGGTTTCGATCACTTTTATACGAGGAATCGCCCCAAATTCTCCTCTGCGTGTACACAGGCTTGATCGAAAATTTCAGAGAGGAGTGCACGGAATTAAAATTATTTTTTCATTCAACCGAATAATTATTTTAAATTCGCGTTAATTACTTTCCTCTGATAAACATCAATTTTGGTTGGAAATGAAATTTATCTTATATTCCGTGTCTTATGCAAAAATCGGAAGCTAGCTGTATAATAATTTCGGAAGGGAATCGAATTATTTTGCTACAACGTGTCAACCCCATATTTATATGACGTTTGTAAGTGTCACCTAAATGATGAAATAAATTTTCTATCTGTACGATTATTCGTACGCCTTTTTTATAGGCAAAGGTTTCTCTGATGGCCACGAGGAGAGGAGATCTTCAGATACAGCTAACATCTCCGCAAGGTACAAAGAGCACTCTTCTTGCAAAAAGGCTCCACGACGTCTCGAAGGCTGGTTTCAATCAATGGCCATTTATGTCGGTTCACACTTGGGGAGAAAGGCCACATGGCACGTGGAAACTTGAAATCCACAATGAGGGTCGATACCAAGGTAAGTCCATTGTGTGCGTCTTTTTGTTCCTTCCTTTCATCGCGTACATTTCCAGACACAACCTAGTCTAGATCAGACATTTTCCAGGGTTCTGTATCCCGTTACTTTCTTCACGAAAACCAACCTCGATTATAATCTCACGAAACGTCGAATTCTACTTTAAAATTTCCATTCCTTGTGAATCTTTATCTAATGTGAATCTCTGAAACGTTCCAAGAATCAATGACCAAAAGATTGCCATTCTTCGTAGGAATTTTTAATTCTGTATCCATTGCGAGTCGAAGGAACTCCATACTTAGGCCAAACTCCATACTCTGAGTATTCGAAATAACAATTAACAAACGATTAATAACACTAACGAGTCATTTAAATATTCCATGTCTAAGATCTCTGGACCACAAACGAGAAACGATCGAGATAGAATAGCACAATGATCATTGTATCATTATCAATGGCACGAATCTAAATTCACCGGGTTTTACAGTAAACCAAAAGACTCATCCAGTTAATCTTGTATCTACGTACAATTCATTACGCAGAATTCATCTCAAAATGGTTCGTATCTATACGTACTGTCCTCCGCATCTATGCATCGCAAATTCCCATCGTCTTCGAAGGAACAGATGTTTGTACATCAAGTTCATCATCGTTAAACTGACAAACCGGGGACGAAACTGTAGCTACTATAAGCTTCCGCGAGAATCTGCATCGGAGATAGACAAACATCCTCGAAACCATCCACCAATTACGGATACCTTGTCTCGAGACACGGACTACGTCGAGAAAATAGAAAAAAAGAAATTAAAACGTGCTATAGGTTGACAGAATCTGTCAACGGTTCCATAGACTGTAACGGCCAGTGTAAACACAAAGAGCCAGCTGCTATCTTATCACCTGATCTCCGAGAACATAAACGGAGTTCTCGTAAACCGTACACGTGGGACCACGTAAGCTGCTGCATCATCTCCCAAGGGCATAATTCCATGTTCGAAACGTGTGCGATGGCATCCAGCAGCAATGGATCTCGTGAACCGTTAGGGGAAGTTGACCTTGCGCAGGGTGGAACCGTCTGAACCACTTCAAGCTAGAAGCCCGTTAAAGCCGATATGTGCATAAAGTTTGAGTTAACGCGAGCTTGTACTCCCGTGCAGTCTTGTAGTCTAGTGTATCCATGCACAAGATAGAGCCCTGGTCCATTATGCCGCGTAATATGCGGGACACATTCCAAGTACAGGTATTCAAACCATTACACGTCGTGTTTGCGTTGATTCTCTGTACATTGGTACGAAATCCGCTTCATCCTCGTCGTCGTCGCCCAACAACAATATTGTGTTGGTCGAGAATTGCACCTGTTGGTCGTCAATGATTTTCTAATCCCCAGCCACTGATAAGCCCGACTGCACGACATTCTCTCATGGGATTACTTGCATCTCTTGGCTCTAAATCGTTCGAGGGACCACGAACTTGGGGGAAATCGTTCTTCATCAACGATCAAGTGTTAATCGAATATCAGGGATCGTTGGGTAAATCTTATCAGACAGCGCCAAGCGACGCCATCGCGCTTTGTTCATCCGGAGCACCAAGAGCGCTGAGATGGCGCCGCGGTAGACTCCGAACGTGTCGTTCGTTGCATATGGTGGACGGATATTAAAGCATTTTTAGATACTAAATTTTAGAAATCTCTGAAAAAGCATTAATCGATATCTTTAATTCGTATTTCGTCGTTTCGATTCGTATCAAAGTATAAGCATACTTAATGTTTGTGCCTTTTAATCATCGGCCAGTCTGAGTGGGCGCTGCAGTAGAGTCCAAACGTGTCGTTCGTTACATATGGTGATCGGATATTATAGCATTTTTAGAAACTAAATTTTAGAAATCTCTGGAAAAGCATTAATCGATATCTTTAAGCTTGTTTCAATTTGTATCGACGTATAAGCATACTTAATGTTTGTGCCTTTTAATCATCAGTAAGTCTGAGATGGCGCTGCGGTAGGATCTGAACGGACCGTTAATTGTATACGATGACATTTTAATGTAGAAGCTCTTTTCGATATAAGATCTGAACTACGCGATCGCGTTGAGTGGCACTCGAGTAATTAACAGGTTAATTGCCAAAGGGATTATCGATGACCGACATTCGATTTCCCATTAATGCCATAGTGGTTATCGATGGGTAACGATGTCAAGATTCACGAAAATGTTTAGTTAAATAAACGGTAATATTTATGAAACTATTCGATGCTAAAAGATACACGCGTATATCGTGTTTTTAGTTCATAGAATGAAATTAAAATTATTATTTAAAATAATATCAGTAGTCGTCAACGTGATAATAAATACGATGACAGGAATTTGGTATGCATGTTTATATAGCGTGGCTAAAAATGGTAGAGATGCGAGAATGGGCCGAGTATTTGGCACTAGAGCGAAAGACACTAGCCTTTTCACTACGCCATTCATTACTTATCGATTATCACTGCAACTATATAACAAAACTCTCCAATTTCCTGCTGCCTCACGCTCTGACGACCAACGAACAACCAGGTCGTGCTACGCTGCACGAATGGGCGTTGATTTTCCACGGAACGTCAACGCTGCCTGATCGCACGGAATACGCATTGTACAATCCTGCCGGGATGAACATACCGAGGAGACCATTCGTGAAGCCACGGGAAACCGTGTTCTCGAAAACGCAGAACTCCCTCACGAGCTCGAAGATCAAGCAGACTCAACACAAATCCGAGAAGCCGGGCAGCCTTAGTCCACCGTACGTGGTGAATGCTCAGATACAGTCGCAGAAAAAGAGCAAAGTGCGTGGTCAGCACAAAAACGGCAAATCAGCCAATAAACCGACGCCGAGACCTACGGTGCAAACGCTAAGAGGTCTGACACTGGCCAAAGGACCTAACATCGCCGGAGAGGTACGCCTAATCACGTCGAGACCACGGGGTAGGAGCACACCTAGTCCGATTACCACCACAGTCGTCCATACCACTGTACCTACGACGATTCCAACCACCAAAGTGACGAGCAGATTAAAAATCGTCGACGTGGTGACTGCCTCGTCGCTTCAGAGAGGCCTGATCCTCCTGGAGCCACCACCGAAACCTGTCATCAGCAACGTACCGGCGATCTTCCAGCAGTATCCTAAAATTCAACAGCTCTATCCGCTCTATCCCGTCTTTGCCGGAGTTAGGGGAGCCGGTCAGCAGCACGCAACCAGGGCTAAGGGTCTCGTGTTACTCCAGGACGAACAGTTCGATTCGAAGAATTTGGACAAGGGTATTCTGCTTTCGTTCACGTGGACTCCACGTTCGTGTAACGAGCAATCCGTGGATGGGTTGGGACGAGTCGGATGAGACCCCGGGCGCCTAGAGACTATTCTAATGACACGATCTTGGTGTTTGAATAGGGGAACTGTACGTCATTCGATAGATCCGCATGCACCATCCACGGATTCGCGATACACGCCAGTTTCTTTTGTCGCATCTCGCCAGAGTAGTGGAATTTATGAAATAGAAGTGCATCCATGTGTAAAATTATGAGATCAAGTGAACTTCCTACAGTTTAGGTCTTTTGTTGCCCTGCCCTCACTTTTACTCTATTATTGCAAGCACACTTCGGTGTAATTGTTAATATTCTTCATATGCTCTTTGTTTGTATTATTCCCCTCTGTGTTCCCTCGAGAGACATTTTCCATGTGTTTTCACGGCAGTTGTTTTAAATTACACTAATGTTTTCTTTTACGTTTGCTGTTATATCGGTGAGTGAGAAAATAAAGGAGACGAAGCTATAGGAATTATTCAGTAAGATGTTTGTACATAATTTCACATGGTAAACTATTGTAAACGCCAAAATGATATATGCGTTTATTTTTTCGTTTATTGTGTTATCTTACCGTCGCTGGCAGCTCTGGAAGATAAAATAAATTATTCTAGCATTTGCAACTTTTACCATCTTAATGGAATTTGCATCCTCTGCCACTGAAAATATTATTCTCTTCGGGTTACTCGCTATTGTATTTCACTTTTACAATATATGAAATAATATCTTAATTACATTCACGATCAAAAATATCTCTAATTAATAAAAACTCAACGTAATTTTAATTTTCATTAAATTATTTCTTAACATTAGGGTCCTTGTAAACTATTTTCTAACAAGCTTCATTGCATGCTATTTAAATGCTTCTCTTTTAAGTATTAACGAAACCTTATTTCCCTATGGATGGAAATTTAGCTGCTTGTAGGTATTGCTGTTGCAAAGCTGTTAAAGCTATCAAGATAGTCGTACGCAAGTTATGTCGTATTAATCAAAACTTCCAATAACTTCGTCGCATATAATGCTTCCATATTTAATTCGCTTATATGCATGAAAGTGTGTGTTTAGTAGAAGTATGCTTTACGACAAGACCAGTTATCGATCTACAAACCTCGTTAATTTCATTTTTAAATAATTGCTCTTTTAGAGCTGTATTCTCGAAAATTGATTGACCTCCGAATACGTCAACTCGATCATTTGAAACGATTTTTCGAGTATTATTTATTTTAATATCGGTTACCGTTTTAAATAACAAACACGTGAAACGTTTCACAGCAGTGAGAGCTATTAAAAAATTCATCAATTTCCTGTGACAAAGTGGAAATCTCATTTTTATATATTACGTTCGTATAAAGTTTGCCGATGACAAACATAACTCGCCGATCATGTCGATTTTTTATAACAGTAATAACGATATCGGGCTATTCATCGGTGCTAACATTTCCATTTTACCCTCGAGTTGCTCTCATCGATGTCCATAAAGCACCCATGAAACAGGCAGAAATTTAGGATTATGTTCTGTACACGTGAACAAAGAATTCTCGGGAAGAATTTTTTCCATGCATCATTCCGTTTTATATTTCATTTCTTCCCTTTTTTCTTTTTTTCTAATTTCCTATCAAAGGATGGCAGCATATCATAAAGCACCCATGAAACAGGCAGAAATTTAGGATTATGTTCTATACACGTGAACAAAGAATTCTCGGGAAGAATTTTTTCCATGCATCATTCCACTTTATATTTCATTTCTTCCCTTTTTTCTTTTTTTCTAATTTCCTATCAAAGGATGGCAGCATGTTCGACGATCGAAAAAGGGGAAAAAATATTAGCTCGTAAAAGCTTTGACAAGACTCTTTAACGAAGATGTCAAATAGCTTCGAATTGGTTTATAGTTCGATGCAGTGGTTTGACCATTAAACTATCGGTAAACCGATTTTTGGTCCTGTAAATTGTCAGATATCAAACACCAATGTTATACCACTGGATATTTATTTGTCGGAACTTTTGGAGGAGAAATTATATTAAATACGAATTGACACTTCATTGATAAAAAATCGATACAAAATATTTGTGGTATATTGCAGCATATGGACAAAAATTTCGTATTAGAAAAAATATATAAATGCGACTTTTTTTTATATATAATTAATATAAATATATTAACCCTTTGGGTGACTCTCAGTCACCATTTAATTATATTCTAAAGATCGACGTTAATTAATATATCAAATTTAAAATTACCTAACGATGTGTAGAATGTCGAAGAAAAATAATTCTACGTCTTAATTTGCCTATGATTTCTCATTTACCAGTTTAAAAATATCGTCGACTCTATGACAGAAAGTCTTCGAATTACTATTTTTCTATAACGAAAAAGTCGTCGAGTGCAAAGAGTTAATATAAGCTTAAGATAATTGCCTATACTAATAATTATTGTGAACTTTTTAGTATAATTGTTAGTATAATAATTTTCTTTTACATGAGTATTTTTATAAATTTATCAAATAATTCACTTACCTTCTAATCCAAACATAAATAATTTTTGTTTTTGACTAGATCCGTTCCTTCATATCTGCGTCATTTTATCGCGTTCATCTCTCACGTAAACAAATAAAATTCGTCTCAAAAAAAGAAATTATGGTTGATCGTCTTCTGTATCGTTAAGAAGAAAAGTACATCGCATGTGTATACATATACGTATATAAAATTTGCATAAATACGAAGAAATATTGGAAATCCCAGTGACTCGTCGCGTAGCATATTTTCCAAAATTATTCGTTAAATCTAGAAATATCAGTTGCATTATTAATATCTTCCCTGACAGTTATTCCTCGTGCTGATTTATTTCACGCTAATCCGTTTCCTGCTGCCGTCAATGTCAAGAATAAAATTCCTCGGGCGACGTCGCGGCGCGTCGCGTCGTAACGCTTTATTAATTTCCCGACGCCGACATCGACACCCTCCTCGCCTCGCCCATTTCACTGTCTCCTCTAGACCACGCTTCGAGACACCTACATCGAGTACACCAAGTATCTCATGGGTAAAACATGGTTATTCACGCGAAGGAACGCAGACGGTACACGGACTCGTCCGTGTGCATGTGTGCGCGCTTGCGTGTGGATAATGCAAAGTGCACCTATGTCACGTCAAATAGAAGCACCCATCTGTCGTTAGACGGTGGTGACATTAAGAAAACGAGCAGACGCTTGCGCGCTTTGGGTCGGCACGTTTTTCTTCTTAGCTCTGCACTAGAGAGCTGTAACTGTCGAAGGTATCGACAAGTATCGATAATACCAGCTGTTTGTACGTATAAAATATATATAGCTGTGGTGAGGAGAAGTCTGGATCGTTTAAATGCAATTACATCCTTTCCTGGAATATCATAGTAAATGAACATTTTATATTTCACGAAAATTTAATTTCACGAATCGCTATGACGAAACATTAGACGAACAACCATAAATGAAAATTTTAATCCAGATCATTTCACTATATTCGATAGTTTACGGATTTAATCCGCGATTTAAATATTCTCGATTTTACACAACGTAATTATTAAACAATTTCTGCCATTGATATTCTGTCAACTCGCGTGAAAGAGTAGCAAGATGGCGATTTGGGTTTCATATCGTAGAGAATTGTTTCCGATAATTCATCGCTCTTATGAATTTATTAAATTGGAGAAGTGAAACACAAATGCATCGCGTTCGTGGTTCATGATTTTTACTTTATCTTTTATACGCAAAATAAAGGGAAGGGAAAAGAAAGCAGTGCAGGAAGTTCAATTCGATGTACTTTCATTTCCTATGGTGCCTGGAAAAAAGTTCGAACTCAAATCCGTGTAAATATTGTAACACCGGAAATTAAATTCTAACTGAGATTTCTTCTATTCCGTAATTGAAATTTCTTGTGAAATGCGAATTTAAATGTATCTTCTTTGCATGGTTACTACGTCGGTCCACGAGATAAAACGCGAAGGTTGTGAATAATTCTACGTGTTATCAGGTGTGCAACATTATCTTAAAGCTTATTTAGATCCTTCATCTTTATTCAAGCACGATTCCATTTGTTTCTGCGTACCACGTAGCGAACATATGCACATATTTATCCTTGGAGGAAATTCGCTGTACGTATCTCTTAAAATATATAGTTAAAATAGAACGTCTTTAGCAGCATGTTTAAAATACGACGAAATTTTTCTTCCTTCTCTATCATATGTGTCTTTCGTTTTCGTCATAATTTCAAATTATCATTATTATCGCAGTATCTATTTTCTGTGCTACTCAGAAAATTTTATATTTTCATTTAAATAGCGAATTGCGAATTTATCTACGATTTCGTTGCTTTCAAACGATGTACCCAAAAATAATTAGTATTATTGTACAATTTAGTATACACAGTTAGATGAATGTATCTTTGCCTATTCCCACAGTTCCATGTCGCCCAGCATTTTGAAGTATTTCGAAGATTTAAAAATTTTGATTTTCAGCATGCTCACATGTGTTTTACGTTCATTATTTATAAGCACCCTTTGTGTACCCCGATATAGATACGTGTTACAAATTTGTGAGAAACGAACCTCGTTGCACGAACCATGTGTTACCTCTCAAAAGACAAAACCAAAAATAATTTATATATGTATATATGTATATAAGAGATTTTTATTTTTCATTGATATATATATATTATAAAATAAGGTAGATGATATAAATTTTATATCTCATATATAACGATATAAATAATTAAATAAATATACAAAGAGATTATTAATTTCTGGAAACGAGAATCCATTATACGCGTATATATCTTGTCCATTTCTAAAACTTCTGAGAAACGACAACTCTGTTCGTGCAACGACATACGTTGCCGATTACTGCCCCATAGAGGTGCAACTGACAAGTGAAACGGAGACGCGATCACAGCGCCGCCAATGGCCGCTTAACTTCAGCTCAAAGCCACGAGTCCACATCGTGGAGCGAAGCAATATTAATTCGTCTCCATTTCACGACTCATTCATACCCCTAAAGCGAAATCTAACAAAGCACCACGATATTCCAGACACCCTCGAGGAATTCAAGTTAGTGTTCTACGGTACGGAGACGTCTCTGGAGTTCGACAACGACCTGGACAGGGACAAGCCGCAGCCACCTGTGAATCAACAGGACGTGGGCCAGGACAACACGGCGATCGGAGCTAGACACAACATCGTGAACACGGTAGATGACCCATGGACAGGTAGCCAGCAGGTAGAACGCGTGTCCCACCAGGAAGTACAAAGACCGACGACCGAGAACCGGACGAGCGGTTGCAGTAGCGTGGACGCAGGAAGTGGCAGGTGCCTAGGTGGGTGCCTCATTCTACTCCTTCTAGCCTACCTGCTCGGTGGAGCCAGCTGGGGGAACCTGGCGACCAGCTGGCAGGATTCGTTGAGTGTTCGAAACGAGAGTGACCTCGAGGTGGACGACGTCACCTCGGGTTCATCCTCGACGACGTCGTGCGAGAGAATGGCGACATACGACGCAAGCTTAGCGATCGACAGGCCGGTAGGGACTCCCTGGTGCTCATGATGATATCCCTGGACGATCGACGTCTTGGCCTCTCGATCCACGCTCTGAGTCGAGAACTCGCGCCAAGAGTCGGTTCCAATTTCGTTTCGTTCGAACAATCGTGTGTTGTGATTCCCCTAACCACGTGAGCCGACGGTGATCTACACTGTCGTGTCAGCCGCTTTCTCCTAGACGCTTTCCTCCCGCCCGTCCGGAGAAAGAACTCTGAGGATGATGTGTCGAACATCGAGCTTACAAATGTCCTATGGGCTGGTTCACGTGCTTTCCACGTGGACACCCGATCGCTCACTACCGTATGTCGTTCTAGGGTTAGGATTAGTCCAATTAAGTGTCGTGTATGAGAGACTTCTGTGACCGGTATGCATGTAAGGAGAGTTGTCTGGACGTTCGTGAGCGGTAGCCAAAGGCGGCCTCTTTTTCAGGACGGCATTGAGACACTGATAGACCGATAGCTAGCTCGATCAAGCATCGGGGAAGATCGATTTTGACGAGCTGAACGTTTATGACTCCCCTTCCTTTGAATATGCAGCGGTCGCCCTTGATTTTTCCTCCCGATGAATTATTCACAACGGATACCCGACTCGGTCGTATATCCCGCGAAAGCGATACGCTGAGATAATAATTTTCATCGTGGAAAAGGGCGGACCGATCCTTCGATATTCTTCGCTGATTGTTCAATTCCCATTGAGTCGAGGTCTGGAGAAGATTAATCACGAGAAGGTTGCTCGATAGCTACCGTACAGAGGTTCCAGCGATTCGTTCCAGTTTATTTCACCGGCCTGAATCGTAACCAAGTGTCTCTGTCGAATTGACATCTCCGCCTTGATTTTCTCCCTGCTCGATCGGAGATCTGTTTCCTTTCAGCCACGTATAACCACCTTCGATATCACGCTCCGTGTTATCCGGGAACACTCGGCGATGCTTTTTCATCACGTGTAATCGAGTCATCCGCGAAACTGCCACTACGGGGATCTAAGATCGAAGGATCGCGTCCGTGGACGAGGTTCTATTCGGTACCCCGATATTTCGCGAAATTGTTCCATTTACTAAACAGCCAATCGTCAGTGGCTGCTCGACTGCGTAATTATAACGAATATTCCATGGGATAATCTAGTTGCTTAAACTCCGAGATTCGTTTCGATACGAGATTAATAAGCGATTGGTACATATCTACACTGCTGTTCGAAAGTTTGGCGGGAGTATTTGAATTTAGTAATATTGGATTTGACTTTTTCAAGGGTATTTCCATCTTTCACCTAACGGGAAGAACACGAACGAAACGATGAGATGGTTACTTTCGTTTCGTTGTTTAGAATATTACGTGGAATATTAGAAAAGACTCCAAACTTTTGAAGGAAAGTGTACATACGGGATATTAATCGTTCCATAAATTCAACGCCGTGTCTCCCTCTATTCATACACAGGCGAAGTAATCGAAATTCGCGCGAGAATTCGACGGAAAAGGAAAAGGAAAACAAAAGAGAGGAAAATATACGGGTCAAAGTGGAAAAAAGGTAAAAGAATGGAAGAGATGTTGCAATAATCTCGTAATGCCAGCTTAGTCTGTCCAGCAACGATAGTTTCTCTCTGCGTATCGATTGACGAAACGACCGAACGTGTTCCAAAGAGCTTCTCCCCTTTTCATCTCTTTGCCTTCCGCCTCTCCGCTTTTTCCGGACGTTTCACTTTTATCTTCCAGTTTCTTGCTTTACCTACAACCACCGGGTTCCCTCTGTCCCTTTGCTTCATTTTCTTCCCGGCGAACTTTCTCTCTCGTTTCCTCTGTAGCTTTGCTTGCCCAAGACAGCATCAGAGGAAGGGTACACCAGCTGGGGTTATCAGCACTGCCGAAACAAAAAGGTAACAGAGCGTTTACGACCGGCTGATGCAAACAACCGGGAAGAAGATACATAAGACTCGATGCTGGCCTGCAGAGTACACGTTTACGTAAGAGCGGAACCCTCAGCTCTGTTATTCGGTTTCGATCCCAAACGGAACGGCTGGCATTGCCTCGATAAATAACTACAATTTCGGCAAACTCTCCAACATCCGAGAGGATAGCTACAGCTGCATCGTAATTACTCGAACGACCGAGATTTTGCTATCTGCACCGATTTTCTTGCGAAGGATCGGCTTATTGTCCGGCCAGCTGCTGTGGCTAGCACGGCTGACTCTCGGATTAGGGTGGTTAACGTGTTTCGCGTTAGAGTGTCTTTGAAATCTGCTTCGGTTGTTGCACTGGTAGCATGGAATATATATGTGGAATATATATGTGGAATATGTGTGGATTTGGGTGTCATGAAAAATCGAAATTATGTTTAAATTCTCAACTATCACCCGAGGACGTCATAGTGTCTCTGTGAAGGTCTTTGGCCTTTGTGGCGTCTTTACCAATTTTTGGCTTACCAATTATTATTTGCATCGAATTATTCCGGGTAGCTTTGGGAATATGTGTAAATTTAGGTGTCATGAAAAATCGAAATTATGTTTAAATTCTCAACTGTCACCCGAAGACATCATGGTGTCTCTGTGAAAGTCTTTGATGTTTATGGTGTCTTTGTTAGCTTTTAGCTTACCAATTATTATTTGGCAACGAATTATTTCGGGTAGCTTTGTGGAATGTGTGAATTTAGGTATCATGAAAAATTTAAATTGTGTTGTATAAATTCTCAACTGTCACCGAAGACGTCATAGTGTCTCTGTGAAGATCTTTGGTGTTTATGGTGTCTTTGCTAGTTTTTGGCTTTCCAACGAATTATTCCTTGTATACGACAGATGATAGTTTGATAAAATAATCGAAATATATTAAAGAAATAATAAAACTCCTCGATTAAATTGGCAATGCTACCTTTTCGTATTCACACCATCGCCATTTTGTTTATATACGAGAGTCCTATACGTTTCATTGCCTATTAATTCTCTCAATTTTTCTCTTCAAATTCTTTGATATATTCTTGCTAAAAGATTCACTCTATAGTAGAGATTGAATTTTGCACGTTATTATGTGATCCTATGATCTTCTTCCTCGTGTCCAGCCTCCATTTTCTTCAGGCATTGTCGCATAGAATCTACTCATCCTCAGCGACCAAATTTAATATCAATCTCTTCGTACTCTTCCGCGCACACACGCACAAAATTTTAATAAAATATTCCAATTTAGAGATCTTGACCCTTGCAAGAGTTAAGCTAAGTTCACGACAAAATCTTCACTGCAGTTTCATTTCCCTAGCGACGAAAGAGACGAATGAACGTCAACTTCGCTGCGTAATTACAACGTTAATTTATTCTTACCTTAAATAAACTACGTGCCTCGGTGACTTACGAACGTACGTGCCCCGACTTTAAATTATCGGGACGTTAATCGACTTTTCGAGTCGTTCGAGTAATTTATGCGATACGAGCGCTGGCGTGGATCGCCGTTAATGGCACCACTTTCGCGGAAACTGATATTTTGTAAAATCGCCGCTTGGGATTTGGGATCGAATCAAGAGCTCTGTGCCGACAGAAGGATTCGAAATTCACATGAGAATCGGCCGGAAAATTGAGACCACCGAATATTCCTTCCTTTCTACATGGTAAACGTTAAAATTTCGAAACGCTAAAATTCCTTGAAATTCGCGAGGAGCTCTTGCTCGAGGTCTTAAAATGGACGAACACCAGCAGTAATTAAAAAGCGACGAGACAGAGAATGATGTCTAATGAGTCGCTTTAAAGAGTAGCCGTCCCATTGTGCAATGGGTTTGCAGGTCTTATGGCGACGGGAAAATTGAAGAAAAAATAATTCTTCGAATGGCAAAATGGCGGAGAGAAAATTGAGCGAAGTATAATCCGTCGAACGGGAAAATGGCGAGGCGGAAATTGAATGAGGAATAATTCGTCGAGTGACAAAGGATCCTCTCATCGAGGCCGATTCGAATGGAGATCGCGCAGGAAAAATCGAAGGGAACGTTTAAATGCGCGAAGGATCGAATAACGTTTACCGATACACGATAAGTGATAAATTAGCGAAAGAGAAATTTCGGAACGAAGGAGGACATAGAAGCTGGTCAACGATAAAGAGGGAGAACGAAGTGATTAAACTGCCAGATGAAGTTATGGCCTCGATGACTGCGGCATTTGATCGACGACGATCGTTACTTTCTATTTCGTACACGATAATCCGTTCGCACGATGAGGCAATAGAAAGTGTTACCTTCCATTGACGATCGAGCAACAATCGTCGATCCGATTCTCCGTGACGAATAAACGAAGAATGGGACCCGAGCTATTCTTTTACCAGGGAAACCGTTTAAAAATGCCGCGAAAACAAACTTCTCGGCCATTTTCATCTCCAAACGACAATTTTTGATATCCCGCACGATATCGAAAAGGAAAAAATGAAATTTGGCTAGAATTATATTAAAATACATTTCTCCATTAGAGAGACGCGAATGGTGAGAATAAAATAGGGAACGAGGGGATTATGGCAATTATAAAATGGCAATTATAATATCCCTGATGTTAAAAGAGGCAACGTGAATTTATACAGACGATTTCAAGTATTTCGTCAAATTGAAAATGACCTGGTTCATTGGCAGGGATGTCGTTTATATCCCTCGAATGTGTTGGATGGGTCCTTTTTCGTTCAAATGGTCCTTAAAGTTAGACCGGTAATCGGGACGAAAGAATCGTTTAAATATGAGGTCTCGAACGTACACCAAACTGACGTACGAATTTTATTAGCGAGCCTCGTCATGCTCTATTAATTTTTACGAAACCTCAACCTCGCCAGGACCA